TGTCTCTTTGTCTCTCTCTCTCTCACACACACACACACACACACACACACACACACACACACACACACACACACCCCTATTCACATTCTTCTGCAACAAGAATGAGTTTGCTCAAAAGTTCCTGTTTCCCCTTCCACATTATCTCTATTTAGGTCACTCATCTTCTACAGGGTTAGATCAGTAACTACCCCAGCCTCATTTTACTGCCCCAGCTCCTTTATTCTGTGCCCAAGTCCTCCTCAGTTCTTTGACTGTATCTTGTGCTCTCTGTCTATATACTTCCCTGCTTCCTCTTCAGTAACTAACTTCCAAAGCTCTGATTCCAGCATGGTACTTACTTCCTCAAGCAATTCAATCAGGACAAAGAGTGACACCTGATGTGACATTTTTCACATATATGGATATTTGCTCTACAAAACCATCCATCTTCCTTCTAGCTCTCTTTGCTGTCACACTAGGGTATGGCCCTCATCTACAAGTTCAAGACAGCCAGTGGGACTCCAGTCATCATACCCATATTCCAGGCTGTTACGAGGGGAGGAGCAGGAAGAAAGATGCATGTTAGTTGTTGTCTCATTTTGATAATTTTTTTTCAGTGAGTTTTAAAGTTCTATGTTTTAGGTTCTAGAAGTCACTTTTGGTTCTTCTTAAAAATTTCCATTATCATTACTTGAACATATTAATGACAGTTATTTTCATTATAAGAAAAGTCTTTATTTTAAATCATGGCAAAATACACTTAGCATAAAACTTAAATGTTTGAAATGTTTATTGCATTCATGAACATGCCATGCCATGAACATGGAGGTCACAGGACAACTTGCAGGGTGCTGAGGATCTAGACTGAGGTCCTCATGTTTGTGTGGCTAAATGCACTATCTCCCCATCTCCCATACCTCCTAGGTATCATCTGCTGGCACCTGTCTCCAAAGGCTCTACAGCGGGCAGCAAAGGGGATCATCTTAATCTAGTCTGGGCTCAGCAATTTTGGAAGGAGCACTGGTTTTTGTGAGGACTGATCTTCTATTATTTTTTTTGTTTTGTTTTCAGTACTACAGTGACCCTTCTGGGAGCCCCATCAGGGTCCCATGTCCTTGGTCACATTCAGACTGCAATTGTGCATCCTGTCAGCCCTGTAATGACCCTGGCACCAGCCCAGCTTCCCAGCTCCTCTGCTGTCACTCTCTCAGTTCTGTGTCTTAGCTTCTTGGCCAGATACTGTTGGCCAGTCATCAAGAGTGGAGAAAAGTACCATAGACTGGCAGGATTGCCTCCTGGAGCCTGGCCACTCAAGTCCTGGCTGAGGCCGCTAATTACTTTAAAGCAGAGCCCTCCCGGCCCTCCAGCATTTTGTCCAGCCTTTTTAATTGTTCTCCAGAAAAGCTAATCTTCCAGCATCTCTACCATCAATGAAAGCTGAAAACTTTGATTTATCTTTTAAAAATATTTTTAAGCGAGGCATGATAGTGCATATCTACAGTCCTAGCATCTAGGAAGCTGAGGCAGGAGGCTCTTGAGTTAAAGTCCAGATAGGGCAACATAGATAGACCTTGTCTCTAAACAAGACATTTTATATGGAGGTGTGGTTTCCTTGGTGAGCACACTGACATCCGGGGACTGCCTGGCCAGTTTTCACAAATGCAATTTTTGTTTTGTTTTTGTGTGTGCATCTGTGGGTGCACACATGTGCAGGCATATATGCAGGCTTCAAAATTGAAGTCGTCTCTACTTACTGAGGCAGGTCTCTTGCTGAACCTGGAACTTACTCATTCTAGCTATTCTACCTAGCCTGCTTCCCTGGGGACCCTCTGTCTCTGCCTCCTGAGTCCTTGGTTTGTAGGTAGACACCATATCTGCCCAGCTTTTAAGTGGGTGGGCTCAGGGAACCCAAATTCTGGTTCTCATACTGTATGGAAAAGAGCTTTGTTCACTGAGCAGGCTCCCCAGCCTCTTACTTCATTTTAAGATATGGGACTTTCCTATCTTCCAGAAATGTCTCTTGTGCACTTGTCCTGCTCTTTACTTTTTTCTCCTCTACTAGTATCTGCTGAATATGTGTTAGAATATTGGTATAGGACCCTGGCTGCCACTCCACAAAAAGAAGAGTAGGGAAAGCCTGCTTGCCCCTCCAGCACAAACCCCATGTCCGGAATTTCCTAGACATCCCATCTTTAAACTCCCTCCTCAAAACCAAATACCTTCCAAAACAAAACAAAACAAAACAAAACACAGAAAGGAACCCTCACTCCTACAGCCAAGTATTTCCTTTAAACATGGCTTTTGGGACACAGGGGTGCTTGCAGAAGTGAAGCTGGAGGCTGTGTTCTCTCCTGCTTCTGGAAGCCACTATCATTCCACGGGGTCCACAGCTCAGACCTGGCAGGGGCAGCCTGAATCTAGCAGTGTGGCCAGAACTGCCTGCTAGTCTGCCCTTGTTAGAGCAGACAGCTGCCTTGCTGGATTAAGCACAAGGCCTTTCTTTGCTGGTCAGGGATGCACAGACAGTAGTCTTGGCCTCGCCTGGCCTGGCCAGAAGCTCTCCCTGCTTTCAGCTTCCTATGGCAGATAGAGTGTATGCCCCTCCCTATTCTGGGGCTAGGCTTCCTCCTAAGGGATAGAGGCAGCGACCAATTTGGGCAAAGCCTTCTTAAGCACTATGGATGGTAGAGTCTGAGCATGCAGGGCTCATGGGCTGTAGGGAGCAAGGGTGAAGAAGATGGCACTGCCTAGAGAAGGCCCAGGCCCTTCAGCTAGCTCCTGATGGCAAGGCACAGCGCCTATGTGACCATTTCCTCCAGGCTGCTTCCAGGTTCTAGCCCTTGGGTGGGGACCTGGGAAGGTTTACAAGGGACCATGTTTCCTTCAGACACCCTTACTCTGAGACAGCTGTGGTGAGCAGGAGCAGGGGGAGGAAATTCCAATCTCTTTCATCTTCCTCAGCACCCCTTCTTGCCTCACTCCAGTTTCCAACACCTGGAAGGCTGTCAGCCTCCTTCCCTCACCTGGAGCATCTCCTGTGCTTGTCCAGATCCTCATCCACATTTCTCAGCCCCACACCTGAGCCTCTGTACCCAACATCTCTCCTGGCCTTGTTCCTATTTCCCCCACCAAATTAGCAATTTAGGAGGCCATCCTTGCAAGCTGGGAGTCACGAGTGTTGGAGGACCCAATGAGTAGAGTCCATAATGGGTCCATAGGATGCTTGCCTATGGTCCTCCAAGACCCTTTCCTCTCTGATAACTAAACACCATGGACCTTCTCCAGTCTTCTTGCCACATACTGACAGATCTAAACCAGCCAAAGAAATTCTATTCCTCTGGCCAATAATTGGTTAGATTTGGATGTGAGTTACTAACCCTGGCCAATGAGATTAAGTGTGTATCAAGAAGGCAGGACTCTGACGGAGTTTTGTTGTTGTCCCAAAAGGATCCAAAAGATTCCACAGCTATTGGCATCACTGGCAATACCCCCGAGTCTGGACATCATTGAAGAGTTAGCCAACACTGCAAGCATTGGCCTGCTCCTGGTTATGGGATATGATAGATGCTGTTTTGTTGTAGCCACTCTTGGTTGAATGTCCTATTACTGAATGCCAAGTCATTTTAATTGCTATTGAGAATGTGGGTTTTTGGATGGCTTCAACTATGATTCAAGAGGTGCACAGACAGGGCAGGACATCCCAGGCAGTAAGAACACCATGTGTATAGGCAATATTTTTTTGGATGAAAGAATCCTTACCTGGAAGGATGCTCAGCACCTTTATAGTGCAGGTAAATTGTTTAACTCATAGGTATGGGGGAAAGTCCTGATTGCCTGAAAAGTATTGTTGACCGCTCATTTACAAAAGGCTATGCCAGGGAGGAGGAATGGAAAGATGAACATGGGGTAGAGCGGATAGCAAGACACACAGCTGGCACCAATGGTTTGTATTAATTAAATGGGTATTTCAAAATAGCAACAGAGAGAATTTTTAATATACCCAAAAAATTACAAATGTCTGAAGTTCTAGGTATGCCAATGACCCTGGACATGATATTGATATATATATATATATATATATATATATATATATATATATATGTATATGAATGAAACGTCACACTGCATCCCATAGAGGAAAATTACTATGTGTCTAGCAAACATACATTTAATATATGTTTTAAGAAATAGTAGAGGAAAAGATTAGCAGTCTGGGGATGTTACCTATCTGGCCAGGTCAGAAGTAACATTTCAGTCACATAACTCCCAGCCCTGCATCCTGAGCGGTCATCACCATCCGCTGCTTTTCCCAAGGCCCCAAGGGCTACTGGAAACAATCCCTGCCTCTTCTCCTAAGCCTCAGCCCACAGTTGCCCAGGCACCTACCACACTGATGAGCTGGGACAGTAGTAGCTCCAGTTGGATGGAGATGAGCTGACTGGCGCTGGTGGCTGGGCGGATTAGGTTGTTGTAGCGGGTTTTGTTCAGGAGGTCATCCATCAGCTTCTCCTCAGCATTGGCCAGGCGGCAGTCCCCTGGGAAATCGGACAGTCAGGCCCTCTGGGCCCTTGTCTGGAGGAACCCTACTGCAGCTGTGGCAGTGAAGAGGGGGGCTGTAAGAAGCAGAGTGTAGGAGCCCTGGGGCTGTGGTGGAGTGTAGGTGCCAGCAAGCCTCCCTGTGTTATTCTTTCCTCCGGGCTAGACCACTTCCTCCTGCTCTTCCTGGAAGTGACAGTGAATGGCTTTCCATGCTCCAGACATCTGGTCCCAAGTTTGGGCATCGGCTCCTTCCTGGGATCCCACCCAACGCCCCCACAGAGCCACCAAGGCTCTCTGTTCTACACCCAACTCCCCTAGTTTGTCCTCCCATGTTCACCTCTTGGCTGTCTCCCTTTACCTCTCCTGCCCTGGACTGTCCCAGAGTCTCCTTGCTCTTCCCACACCCAGTTGCCCCAGCTACCCCTACATAGTCAGCCAGTCTCCCTGCAGAGCACTGGGTGGGGGGCTCTTCCCCACCCACACCCTCCCTGAGCTGCAGGCAGTTAAACCAAGAATGCTCTGGCTTGACCTTTGAGGCCTTTTGCCCTTAGCACCGGCTTCTTTTTCTCACCTTATATTTTTCTCTCACTTTTCCACCTAACTGGCCCCAGACTCTATTCTCTGGCCATTCCTACTGCTAGCCTCTTTCCCATCTCATTTCTGGGTCTTTGTGCATACTCTTTCTTCTGCCAAGATTGTTCCTGGACCACCAACTGACCAATGTCTGAGTGGAGTTTGTACCAGGTGCTGTGCTGTGTGCTAGGGATAAGAGCAAACCCCAGGAGCAGCTCCTGGCCCCCAAGGGAGGCATGTGCATACCTTACTTGGGACACTTTGTAAAATGTGGGCTTGTCTGCAGAACTGGGTATGTGGTAGTGTTTTCCCAGAGGGGGAAAAAAAGGCAAACTGGGGCTAGAGAAGATGGCTCTGTCAGTAAGCTGAGAGGAGGACCCAGGTTTGAATCCCCAAACCCACACAAAATAGCCTAGGTGGGCAGAGATAGGCAGATCCCTGAATCTGACTGGCTGGCCAGCCTAGCCCAAACTAGTAAGCTTAAGGTTCACTGAGAGACCCTGTCTCAAAAAAATAAAGGTGGAGGAAAGACAGCCATAGGTGTCTGCAACACCACACACACACACACACACACACACACACACACACACACACAAATAAGGAAATAAAGAAAAGAGGGTGGAGCTAGGGGAGGCTCCCTTGAATCCAGACTTTGACCTATAGAACACAAGGTCTCTTCGAGACACCAAATGAAGTGGTCCAGCTGGCGGCTGTTTCCCTGGCTCTAAGCCACATCCAGGACCAGCTCCAGCACAGCCTCTTGCAGGGAGCCCCTGACAGCCATCATCCCTCGGAGCACTCAAGCCAAGATCTTCCTGTGCACCCAAGTAGTATTTGGGTCTTTGTTTCATCTGCCCCTTGTGTCTGGGAGTGAAGGTGAAGTTTGAGTACTTGATTGTGTACTGTGGTATCATTAAGGAGACTGTGTCAGAGGGTGGGGGATGGGACATGGAAAGGAGACTCAAAGGAAGGCCAAGGGCACTTGAGCAGGATACCCAGGAATAGGAAAAGAGATGAGGGTGGGAAAAGGAAACACTGTTGGGGCAGGAGAGCAGGTAGAAGGCTAAAAGAGGAGGAGGGACTACAGACGTGGGGGTGGGGATGCTGGTGAGGGGCTGCCTGTCTCACCAAGCCCAGGAGTTTGGTTATATCTTTCCTAAAGAGCCTTCACATCTTCGACAAACCCTGCCTTTTTGGATGGAGCCAGAGTACTTGGAACATGAATCGCTCCACTCTAGCAAATGTGAGGTGGACTTCTGGGTGGGTGCTGGGCTAGCCACATGTTTATGGTGAGCAGCCGCTGCCCTGCCTACTCCATGCACTTTCCAATTCATTGCTTATCTAGAACAGATGCAATATTTAGTGCCTTGAGAAAGATGCTCCTGGCACACCTGCTTCCTGCTGCCCCTCCCCCAGGCTGGGTTGGGGGTAGGGTGGGAGGGTTGTCCAGCAGATGTCTGGACTAGAGTTTGAGCTTGGCTTCTCACATCTTGAATTCCTTCTCTACAGGCCACCAGCTTAAATACCCTTGGGGCCAATCTTCAGCCACATGATACTCCTGGGTCCCTCTTACAATCTTTGGTTTATTTGGGATGACCTCTCATTTCAGAGAGAGGATTCTGACTTATCCAGATCTAGCTGGCATTCTCTGGCAGCACTGGGGTAGGCTCTGCAGTTCCCAGCCTCCAGTCCTGCAATACCAAGAGAAATTGGATCCATCTCTGCTGCCCCAGGAGGCAGGTGCAACTGAGCCAAAGTTGCAGGCTGCTCAGCAGGTGATGGGGGGGTCGATGCTTATGTTTGAGTTCTGAGCCCACCTGGGCTACTTAGCTTTGTCACCTTCAACTTATTCTCTTTAGTATTCAGCTGACTCAAGGGACTCTTCCCATCTCATGGACCAGCTATGGACTCTGGAGTCAGAAGTTCCTCTAGACCAGTGCTTCTCAACCTGTGGGTCATGACCCTTTTAGAGGTCACATCAGATATCCTGTATATCAGATACTTACATTATAATTCATAAGTATCAAAATTACAGTTATGAAGTAGCAATAAAAATAATTTTATGGTTGGGGGTCACCACAACATGAGGAACTGCGTTAAAGGGCTGCAGCCTTAGGAAGGTTGAGAATCACTGCTCTAGATCATGTAGGACTCCTAGCAAGTCAGGGGCTTCTTTAACACCGAGGCCATCCCTGACCTCTGTACTTCTTTAGTACCCCTGTTAACTTCCCCCGGAGGGAGGCTGTCCTGCTAAGGCTGTCTCTGGTGTGTGTGCTTGCTGGTAAGTCTGTGGATGGGCTGTCCTGCTAAGGCTGTCTCTGGTGTGTGTGCTTGCTGGTAAGTCTGTGGATGGGCTGTCCTGCTAAGGCTGTCTCTGGTGTGTGTGCTTGCTGGTAAGTCTGTGGATGGGCCAAGGGATGGAACAACTACCAGCAGGGCTGTTATAGCTGGGATGCACCCCCTCTTTTCATCTACAAAGCGGAGGGGTGCCCCCAATAGCACATGTTTAGGGTTTGCCGTCAATTCTCAATGATCACCAGAGCCTGTCAGACAGAAGACAGGGAACAGGAGGGTTCGCTCCAGCTTCTGAGAAACTAGTAGGGCTTCCATGAGATCAATCTTTTATATGGTTGAGCAGAGAAGTCACCACTAGAGGTCATCATGATACAATGATGCTGATAAAAAGTGGTCCCACTGGCCCAGGGTCTTGCTTTTGTAGATTTTCCATAGCAAGGGGGCTCCCTTGACTAAAGGGGTGAAGGATTCGATAGAGACTGTAGTTGAGTTGTGAACATTTGTGGTGTGTCCAGTCTGAGAATGCATGCCCAATCAAGAAGTGGAAAGCTATCTTACTGTCTGGGGATGTCATGGTTAACAGAATCTCATTGGCAAATATGTATCTGAAAGGCAGGGCTTGTCAGGTGAGGGCATGTTGCCTATTAAAGGGTAGCATCTTAGGAACTCCAAACGCTGTCTCAGTAGAAGCTTGCCGTACACTAACAATGCTTCTCCAATCACAGATAGGAATCACCTGGCTATACAAAGGCAGAGTCCCACGTCCCATTTCCAAAGATTCAGATCTCTTGAGCCCAGGGTCCAGGAGTCAGTACAGGAAGATGCAGACAGCCTAGTGGGACCACATTTCAGAAACACTGCAAATGTTTGCCAGATGACAGGCAAGGCAGATTGTTGCCATGAAACAGATAGCGAAATTGAGAGGGGGGGTGATGGAATAAGGGCACCCAGCAGGGAACCAAAGCCATAATACACACTGTGCCAATGTTATCTTTGATAAGAGGAGGGGACTTTGAATGTCCCACCATTTCCAGCTCTGGCACATTCTGGAGGTAGTCTCTGTGGGCAGAAGATGCAGCCTTGGTCATCAGGGTTCACTGGGGCTCCGAGGACAACCTGGTCCAGATGCAGTGTGTGTGTGTGTGTGTGTGTGTGTGTGTGTGTGTGTGTGTGTGTATGAGAGAGAGAGAGAGAGAGAGAGAGAGAGAGAGAGAGAGGAAATGTGGGAGAGGTAGGAGCCACACAGGACCTTGGAATTTAGGAACTGAACCTGGGGGTGAGAGTTGAGCAGGTTTTCCTATCAATGTCAACAGCAGGTTTGAGAATTGAAGACCCCAGTTCACTAACCTGCCTTCAGTTAAGCAGGGTTAGGGGACCAGATGAGACAGTGCCTGCCATATATGTGATTTCTGGAAAACCCGTTGCCAAAGTACAAAAATACTTTCCACGTGTGGGGTGGTGCTGTTGGGGTGACCCCTCTTGCCAAACAGCAGGTTTATTCCCACACATTTACAGCTTGGCAAGACTGTGATTTCACTAGGGAGGAAAAGATCCTCTGGGGGCCTGGTGGGGACCTCTTAGCGCCGGGATTGAGCTGAACTGCCCAACATGAAGACACTCACGACCCATGGTGACCTGGCAGCGCAGAGGAAGGTGGCGGGGACTCCCAAACCTCACCGGGCCACCACCCAGGCCTTCCTGTAACCCTACAGGGTTTGCCCCGCCCACGGTCCAGACAGGTCCGGCCACTCCTCCCACACTGCGACCCTTGTCCCTCCCACCTTCCCTGAAAAGAACTCACCATGCCGCCGAAGCAGGGCAAGCAGAAAGACGAGGATCAGGGGCGTGCCCCTCATGGCCGGCCCGGTGGCTGCGGGTCACCCTGCACTGAAGCTGCAAGTGAGCGACTGTCCGGGTTGGCAATCTGTCTGACGGCTGCACTAGGACCCAGCGGAGTCCGTGCGCCCCGCCTGGAAAGCAGCTGTGGGTCCCGCCCACTCGGGGACTGAACTGGAGTTAAGCGGAGATCTAGGGCTGGGTGTGTTCATGGGGACCTGTGGCTAAGGATGATGGTCCTGAGACTTTCACACACTCAGGAGCTGGGCAGTGCGTGGCATTCGGGAAGGTGGACTAGCTTTTGTCTCCTTATTTGTTTCGGAGACTGGGGAAGGGTGGAGTTACAGGGTGAGGGAGGGTCAGAGTGGGCTGGCTGCATCCCCCTCACCGTCTTAGCCTGGTTTACCAGAAGCAACTTGAGTGGCTAAAAGGAGCAAACAGCAATCTCCCACCTCCTAGGTGGTCCACGGTTAAATTTCAATCTAGAGTTAGAGGACAAGACAAAACAGGTGTCACTGCCAGAGGGATTCTCCTCCCACCCTCTCACACTCCAATACGAGCAAAAGGACCTCGAGTTCCAGTCAAGAGGGTCTCTAAGGTGGTAGCCTTGCTAAAACCTAGGCTGACTCTCACAGCCCTGCCTCTCCTCCCAAGAGACAGCCAGTAGCTTCAGGGACAAGAGTGAGCACAGTAGGTCCAGGAGGAACCACTACCTAAAAAAGACAGAGGTCGGTGCAGTCGCCTTCACCAGTGTCTTCTTGCTACATAACCTGACATATTGGCCTAGGTTTGTTTTGTTTTGTTTTGTTTTGTTTTAACAAAAGCAAATGAACAAGCAAACCAACGTCGATAACATGTACTGCCATGCCCCTTAGGAATGGTTTGCAGGATTCGTGTCTGAGAATCCTCTACTCTTTAAACTGCAGCAATAATAGATCAAATTCACAAAATGAATCCAAAGTCATACCCGACTGAAAGGAAGTCCATAATCTCCCTGAACCAAATCCAGGAAAGAGATACAGAGGAAGTCCATGATCTCCCTGAACCAAATCCAGGAAAGAGATACAGAGGGCTGCTGCCTGGGACCTGTGTGGCTTTGGAAGCTAAGGGCAGCAGAAGGTCCTGTCACATGAAGGGGGATTTAGCAAACTCTTGGTTAAAGCCAGAGTGCATGCCAGTCCTTGAGAGAATGCTAGGAAGTGTTGGAAAGCCTGCTTGCTGATAGTTGTCTGCAGCCTTGGCTGTCTAGGGTACATACTACCTCTGATGTACCACAGTATGGGGTGACAGAGGGGCGGAAGAGGAGACAGAGCATAAGAGAGTGAGCATAAGAGAGAGAGCAAAAGAGAGTGCTTGGGAGTGCCTCCTGGCACTCGCTCTGGAGACCAGGCTGGCCTCGAACTCACAGAGATCCGCCTGCCTCTGCCTCCTGAGTGCCGGGATTAAAGGCATGCGCCACCAACTCCCAGCTTGAACACTTTTTTAAAATATAGGGTTTCACTATGTAGTCCTGACCTTCCTGGGACTTGCTTGTTATGTAGACCAGGACAGGCTGACCTCAAACTTAGAGATCCCCCTGCCTCTGCCTCTTGAGTGCTGGGATTAAAGGTATGGGCCACTATACCTAGCTCAAACCTATTTTTAAAAAATAATTAATATATACCAACACAAAAGTTTTAAAAGGCACAAGTTGTAAACTTTCTTAAAAAGTCAAGCCCTCTAGTCAAGAAACATACATTCTACTGCCATAGGATTTCTTACATATGTGATTAAGTAGCTGACTTTCAATTTTTTAACCAAATAAACTGTAAAAAAGAACTTAGAATGATTTTTTAATGACACAAAGAAATAAGTTCTTTATGTGTTGCTTGTAGTTTGCCTATAAATCTCAGCTGTATAAAACAGCAAAAATGTGCCTACAAACAAAGCGCTACAAACAAATTAAATGAACAGACAGCCAATAAAATAAGAACTGGTGAATTCACTCCAGGCAACATATTTCTACGGAAACATGACAAAGAGTCCATCCTCCTGTGTGGTACATGCAGAGACGTACGTGTGCAGTTACATGCACATGCTACCATGAGTCAACGAGGAGGCCAGAGGAGGCCTGCTCTAAAACTCTCCATTGTATCCCTTTGAGACAGGGACTCTCTCCAAGCAGCACAGGACTGAAGTTACAGGATCATGTAACCACACCCAGATTTTTACTTGGCGCTGAAGATTCAAATTCAGGTCCTCATACTTATGCAGCAAGTGCTCCTACCCACTGAGCCATTTCCTCAGACCTCGATGTATGCCTGCACACCAGAAGAGGGCACCAGATCTCATTATAGGTGGCTATGAGCCATCGTGTTGCTGGAAATTGAACTCAAGACTTCTGGAAGAGCAGCCAGTGTTCTTAACTGCTGGACCATCTCTCCGGCCTCCAATTTTTTTTTTTTAAATAAGAGAAATAGAGGTAGAACTATCCAATTACTTCCTAGGGGCTAGAACAAGGATGTTCTAGCTGGAACAAGGATGTATAAGAAAAGTGCACAGTAGGGTTCTAACCCAGGGGATTGCATGACCTCCTGAGTCTAATAATTGAGATTTTTTACTACATACTAATCTCCTATGTGACCCTGAAGAAGTGATTGCCTTCTCTCTGCCTTCGTTCCTTCATATTTAAGAAGAGGAACTAACCTCCCAGTGGGCCTTCTAAGGATGAAAGGAAATAAGTCACAGAAAGTACCTTAACGCTGCTTAATAGGCCCGGAACACATAAAACTTAATAAATGTTAGCTGTTACTGTCTATTATGAACACAGATTCTAAAATTCTCAATAAGATAATACCAAGTCCTGCATATAGGGGAAATAATGCTTCACGGAAATGTGGGTATTCTCCCGAGAATACAGGGACAAGTTCAGTCAGGTAATTCATTAATGTAATAGGCAACCTTAACAAATTAAATATTCATCTGATGTAACCCATATACACTGCTTCCTTAACTCAATAAACCTGGAGTATGGTAAATGGAAGAATTTTACCAGCAATTTCCACCCGAGTCAGACTGAGACAAGGCTATCTTCCATCACTGTTTTTATTTAGCTCTGCACTGGAGGTCTTAGGCAATGTGCTAAGTTAAAGTAAATGAAATTGCCAATTTTTTTTAGGTCACAAGCTCCCCAAATCAGCAATTTATATAATCCAACCTATAATAGAAGCAGATAAAGGTGATAAATTTTAAGAATTGGAGATGAAAAACTACCGGTATTTGTAGATAATATGATTGCTCTGTAGAAGATCCAAGAGATAAATTATCAATCAGATAAATTATTAGGACTAGTGAGAGAGCGAGGAAGGTTGCTGTACTCAAAATCAACTTTTAAAAGCTATTGGTATCCCACAGGGGTCTGGAGAGATGGCTCAGCAGTTAAGAGCACTTGCTACTTTCACAGGAGACCAGAGTTTGGTTCCCAGCACCCACACCAGGCATCTCACCACTGCCTGTAACTCCAGCTCCAAGGGATCCAACAACCTATTCTGGCCTCCACTGGTTCCCACACCCATGTCCATATGACATATCCAGACACATAAATAATAAAATCTTTAAAAAATTATTCGTATTCTTGTGCACCTTATAATAATATTAGAAAATGTAGTGGAAGGCTGGAAGTGCATACCTAGCATGCATGAAACTCTGGTTATGTTCCCAATGTGCATAAACTTGGCATAAACCTGTAATACTAGAACTGGGGAGGTGGAGGCGAGAGGATCAGAAGTTAAAGGTTATCCTGTGTACATAGTTTGAAGGCAGCTTGGGATGCATGAGGCCCTGTCTTCAAAGCAAAATAAAAGGACTAGAAAATGTGTCAGGGAATAGGCTATATTTATAGTAACGATAAAAGCCTTAGAATATATTTAGAAAAAATATGCCAGATCTTTCATGACCAATATCGATATGGCCTGAATGTGCTCCTCAAATTCATGTCCTGAAGCTTACTCACCAGTGTGAAAATTCAGATGTGAGCCTTTTGGAAAGGATGGGATTCTAGGGCAGATCCTTCATAGATGAAATGAGCACTTTATGAAGTGCTTGGGGTAAAGATGGTTTGACCCCTCTGGAGGATGCCACATTCCAGGTACAATCTTCAAAGCAGAAACTAGCCTCACCTGACACTAAACTTGCTGAGACCTTGATCCTGGAACTTTGAGTTCTCCAGACCTTTGAGAAAATAAATTTAGGTTGTTTACAAACTATCCAGTCTTGGGCATGTTGCTACAGTAGTATAAATGAACTAAGACAAACCTAAGAATTACACAGGGACTGACTAATGGGAACTTTTACCATAAACATTCTGAATAGGAAAATTCCATATTATAATCATATCACTTCTTACCAAATTAATTTACAAAGTCAACTAAATTTCCGCACAAATCCCCATAGAACTTTTCATGGTACATGACAGGCTAATCATAAAATCTGTGAGAAATAAAAATGGGTTGGTGTTCAAACAAAAATACATGAACAAGTGGATCATTGCTGAGCTGGTGGTGGAGTGCTTACACCTCCATGTACAAAGCCATGGGTTCTATCTCCAGTGCAGCAAAGCAAAATAAAACAAAGCTTTGCCTGGTAAGGCATGAACATTACAAATTCTAGACTAGCCTTTCTCTGAAGCCAGGGTGCCAGCAAGTTCTGCTCTTGGTGAGCAAACCCTTCCTGGCTCAGGAGGATTGCTTGTATCTTCACAGGTTGGAAAGCAAGGAAAGAGAGCCAGGGGACTCTTCTCTATCTGGCTCTAATCCCACCACAATGGCTCCACGATTGTAACCCAGCCACCCACGGACAGAGGCCTTGCTTCCTTATACCATCACTTGGGGCTGGGGATTTAACAGATGAACTTTGCCCATATGAAATAGTAAGCAATGTCTTATTTATTTATTTATTTGACTTGTAGAAAGGGTTTGATTCTCCCAAGTGGACCTAGAATTCTCTATGTAACTGAGAATGACTGGCTTCTGATCCTCTTCTA